TCCACTAAGCTCACAAGTAAGGGGCGATTGGGGGGAAGGGGGGTGTCCCGGGTCCTACAGGCCCATAAGTAATGGGTTGGTGGCTGGAGGACTAACCACTTTTCTTTTCCTGTTGTTCCTCTTGTCTGTCCCTCCCTTTTCCTGCAATTGTGTATTGTTGTGCCTCTCGTTACTCAAACGTGAAGGGCTTGTATTTGTTGGGTCCACTCAACCGTTGAGCTCGGTCGAAGTTTCTAAGAACTGTTACTGTTTCCATTCTTTCTTCCTTCTTCTTTGTTTCCACTTCATCAAGGGGAAAAAAGCGTTCTGCTTTCAGAATGTCGTGGTTGTGTTTATTTTAGTAAAGCGCTATGCCCAGACCCCAATCAACAGGGGGGTCGATTTTTCGACAGCATCATTGATAGTCTTCCCCCCCTTCCTCTGTCGTTCCTATCTCTTTTACTTCTTCATCTGCACTAAATGACCTTTGTTGTGTCGATGTGCTTCTCTGCACTCAAACGAAGAAACGAAACACGAGTTGGGTAGCGTGCCATTAACTCCCTTGGTATCATTCTGGACTGTGGTGCGGATGTCCCTAGTTCGAATGCGCTCCTGAGCGTTGATTATTTGGGAGGTTTTCAAGGCTCTCCACCCACTTTGCAAGGCCCAATCGGAGATGGACGATACATTCGGAGGTCCTGCCTCTTAAATAACCTTACAGTTTGCAGTGTTGATTATGGCGTTTAACTTCAACAACAACACTGGTAGGTCCTTTTCAATTACTTTCCCTGTTTTGTTCCTGTCTGTCCGTCTTTCCCTGCAGTAAATAACTGTGGCCTAGCCTATGCCAGACACGTGTGGGATGTGCGGGGAAACTTCTTGTGAGTGAGTGGGGGGGGGGGCGAAGCTGTGAGCTTGTGAACCTTCCCAGATATCAAGAGACAGGGAGACGGATGAATGGAGTACCAGATAGAGATAGGAAAGCGATAGAGTTCCGAAACGAGGCAGGTCTGTGAGAGTCGAGACGGGTGCTATTTTTATTTGTTGTGGGGTTTGTTTTTTTCTTCTGCACACACGCGTTACGTTTTTGGGTAGCGTCTGACTCTAGCCTTTTCCATCGTATATATAGTTAGAGAGCGCCACTGGTAGGCTAGGTGCTTCTACTCCTTTTCGTTCCCCACGTTGTTTCTGCATGGCTCTTATTTGTTTTTTTGTTTTTTTATGGGTGGTTGGGGAGAATGCCTCTGGTAGGTCCAACTTCAGTGTATTAGTCATGTCTGTCTTACTCTTTCCATCGTAAAGTTGGAGGGCGCCTCTGGTAAGTTCTTCTTTGTGTTCCCCACATTATTTCTGTCTGTCTTTATTTTCTAGCGAGTAGTTGGAGGGCTTTACTGGTAAGTCTTGGGGTTGTTGTTTTTTTTGTTTCCCTGTATTTTTTCTATTTGGGTATAGTCGGAGGTTGCCTCTGAAAGACCCTACTTCTTTTTTCCCCCTCAGTTGTTTCTGTCTGTCTTGCTTTTCCAACGGGTAGGTGAATGGCGCAACCAGTAGGTCTTTCTTCTTTCCACAAACATGTAACTGTTTCCGTTTGGTGGATGGTTGGCCAGTGTTCCCGAGTGATTTGCTCCTGTTCTTTCCCTTCAAACACCTGTCGTCCTCATGTGTCCTCCCTTGTTGTGTGTGTTTGTTACTTTCCTGTAAAACCTGTAATCTCAGCAATCCCAGGCACGTATATGACGTAATGTGTTGCAAGTGCCGTAAAACTCTTTCTCTACCCCCCCCCCCCCCCGGTGCTACTGACTGCGGTGTCTTTAGACCATTCCCAAAGGGGGACATTAACCTGTTCTTATGCACACTAGAATTGCAAATGGGCTGATTCATCAATGTCTTGCTCATAATCATGCCTGAAGTGCAATAAGGGACTGCTGCTTTTTCTTTCCTCATCCTTACTATCGACATTTTACCTCTACTTCTTTTGTATGTTTTTCACACTCTTGTGACTCTTCTCTTTCCGGGGTGCCTTGATAGTCGAAGCCGACTTTGTGCTGTTGAAGCTGGAGATGTGGGCAGAATAAGCCTGATTCTGTAAAGGCTTCTCGGTTGACATTCACCCCTTGGCGCTCATATGACCTTATGCAGTTGCGAGTGTCATAGAAACTCTACTAATACTAAACTAAAACTCTTACTCAAACCTACGAAAACTAAACATTTCTGTGGATAGTTGGCGGGTGCTGTGGTGTGGTTAGTCACTGGTTAGGGCCTTCTTTCCTATAAAACATCTATTGTCCTTATCTCCCCTCTGTCTTTTGTGTTTGTTACTCGCTTGTTAGACCTATAATCTTCAGCATTTATATGACCTTATTATTTCGCAAGTGCCGTAAACTCTTACTCAAAACCACAAAAACTTTTACGTTTTTGACTCTCTTATTTTTTCTAGTGGGTGTTACTTCGCGTAGGCGGAGAGGGACGTCTGCTGAACATACGCAGGTGGTCGGTGGGTGGTCGTGTGTGTGGTCTGTCTGCTCTTTCTCCACGGAGTCACTATGACTATTATTGTCGTTGTGTAAGTCTGGTCTGGTCGGGGTGGTTGGCAGGTGTCCTGGCGTGGTTTGCTCCTTCTTTCCCATGATCATACTGAAACATCTATTTCTGTTATGCTTATCTCTCCTCCTCCTTTTTTTGTGTGTGTCTGTAATCTTCGGCACTTATATGATCTAATTCTGTTACAAGTGCCGTTAAACTCTAACTTTAAAAAACGGAGAGAAATTATCTGGTCCTGGCGCTCATATGACCTTATGCAGTTGCGAGCGCCGTAAAACACTTTACAAAAACAAAAACAAAACCTATATCGTCCTTATCTTTCCTCTTTTTCTTTTGTGTTTGTTACTCTCTTGTAACACCTGTAGTCTTCGGCACTTATATGACCTATTTGTGTTGCAAGTGCACTAAAATGCTTACTGAAACCAATAAAACAATAGCAGGGCGCTGCTCAGTGGCAGCCAGTAATGGCGTGTTGATTGCTAGTATTGGTGTGGTGTTAATTTTACAGTTCGTTAATGAATCGTTATAAATGTTTTTCATGCCGTCGTGAACAAAATTTCCCCATATGATACAATAAGCATGTTGCTAGAGGGCGCCAGTGGTAGGTCTCATTTCTTTTCCTACCCTCTGATGTTTCTGAATGTTTTCTTGCTTTTTTTTTCCCCCTGTACTTTCATCCAGTGCCAGATCTGGGACAGACCTCGGCGATCGTGGTTCTCCATTTATTCCTTTGCTCTGGTGTTCTTAAAAGAGCTACGTTTCCCTGGTCTTTCCCCCTTACCTATTTGTTTAGGTTCCTAAGTCGGTTGCTCTGGGCCTACCCCTGCCTCGTTTGCCTTCAGTTTTGCCAGTGAGAGCTAGATGTTCAAGATCTTTATGTGTATTCAGGTGTCCTATAAACTGCATTTGTCATTTTCTTATTGTTTTCATCAGTGAGCGTCCCTCATGGGCTTCATCAAGCCCTACCTCATTCTATCTGTTGTTTCCATCTTTATGTCTTACTTTTTCTCTGCTTTAAATTACCTTTATTATCTTGATGTGCTTCTGTTCACTCCAAAAAAAACCCAAACATGATAATGGGTATCATGCAGATAATTTCTTAAGTCCCCACTCCTGTACTATACATGTCTAAGTGCTTAACAATACTTTCATTTTAACATGAAATACATGTGCATGAATGTTTGTTTGAACGTTTCCATACTTTAGATTAATACTGACACATAAGCTGACATTCTTACTATCACAGCACAATCGATGAAGATATGATAAGAAGGGCTAACTATCAAGATAGCAATTCATGAAGTATGTTTGTGAATGACTTTTTACTTCTAAGGAGGGATCAATAACGGAGGTATCTTTTTTTTATGCTTCCTCTTTTATCAGCGTGGAGAGATAGTGACCGTGGTGGAGACGAACCTGAACGGCCAATGGGAGGGCGAGATCAACGGCAGGCGGGGGATTTTCCCCTTCACTCACGTGCGGTTCTTGACGCCAGAGGAACTCAGCAACATAGACGCCTAGACGGGTGGGGGGGGGGCACCCACACCCACCCACCAGCCACCCCTTCTCCCCATCCTTGTAGTTGCTTTGTGAAGGAGGGCAGTGTGGAGTGATTTGTTTCAGAAAGTGAAGTGGAGTGATTTGTTGTGTAGGCGGCACAGTGAAAGATGTAATTTGTTTGTGTGGGAAGTGAAGGGATGTGAGGGATTTGCTTGTGTGGGAAGTGAAATGAAGAAAGTGATTTGGTTGTGTGGGAAGTGAAGTGAAGAAAATGATTTGGTTGTGGGGGGAAGTGAAGTGAAGAAAATGATTTGTTTGTGTGTGAGAAGTGAAGGGATGTGAGTGATTTGTTTGTGTGGGAAGTGAAGTGAAGAAAATGATTTGTTTGTGTGTGGGAAGTGAAGGGATGTGAGTGATTTGTTTGTGTGGGAAGTGAAGGGATGTGAGTGATTTGTTTGTGTGGGAAGTGAAGTGAAGAAAGTGATTTGTTTGTGTGGGTAGCAAAGTAATGGGAAGGGCTTATTGTTGGAGGCAAGGTGAAGCAAATGATTTCTTTTAGAAAGCAAAGAGTGGTGCAAGGGATTTCATCATGTGTTGGTATTGCGATCGAGAAGCAATAAGCCCTTGGTTCTACTGGACTTTTGTGAGAGCTGATCTATGTATGGGGGGCGGGTGGATGGGCAAGGGGTTAGGCAACAAAGCTGGGGTGGAGTGGGGAAATGAGAGAGTTACAAGGCAGGAGGTGGGAGGATGAAGGTAACAAGGTTGGGGGAGGGAAGGAGGGAGACTTAATAGATACACCCGACAGCTTTCCCTCAGTTGTGCCTTTTCCACACAAATCGGTCCAACTGTGATTGTTTGTTAAAGAACCTAACCCCGTATTGTAATTCTCCCTCGTATGCCAGTAAATGTTCCAACGAGAACTTCTGTATGCAGTTCAATGTGATGTCAAATATTTTGTTATAAGTGATGTCATCATATAGTGTCGTTACTCGTTTCCGTATATATATCAGGAATAACTACTGCTAGTCAAGTTTGTAGATTTTCGCTGATGGAATTTTGATACTTATGGGGAGGCCAGAGGGCAACACTGAGTAGTTTGCCAGAAGGGGTATTGATCAATAGAATGCATGGCTGATTGGGGGGTGGGAGTCGTGTGCTCGTCTGATGATGACAAGATCCTTGGCGTCTGTTGTTACAACAACCAGCTGACCAAAAGTTGGTGCCGCTGATTTTTTGTGAAGAATAGTTTGGAACGTGGTATGATGGAGTTGTGGGAAGCGGGTATTTCCTGATAAATAACTTTCGAATGTTTGTTATATTATACTACTTTGTTTCCTTCATGCCTACCCTCTCCCTCTTCCTCCCCCTCCCCATCCCCCCACCCTTCCTATTATTATGTATAAACTCTCAGATTGAGTTTTTTTCCCTTCTCCCCATCCCCTAAACCCCTCCTTCCCAGAAATCTGTATTTCTTTTTATAGCATCATCGTCATTTGTTTTTGTGATTATGACGTTTCTTTTCCTCATCTTTTCATTTAGATCTACATGTATTTCAATTGCTTTCTTTCACTTGATTGTATGAATACATATATATATATATATATATTCAAAGTGTCATTATTATTTTTTTAGTTAGGTTATGTTTTCAGATTTCTTTTATGTGTTTCACAGTGGCTATGTTTACTTTTATAAGATGAACCAACTGTTTCTCTTTTGCCCTCGCAAGAAAATTGAGTAACTTTGATGGACCCTAACACAGCTTTACAGGCTGAAAAAAAACAAAAAACATTTGAGTTACTCTTTTTTCCAGTAATGTCAATAGCATGTTTGTTTCATCTTTCTTACTTGTAGCTTCTTTTTTTTTTCGGCAAAAGGGATTCGGTTTGTCTGCAGTGGATGAAGAGGGCTTAGTTCATGCTTTATTGATGCACGATGGAGGAGCTTCATTGATACGTTAAATCGACATATTTCGGTGTTTGAGAGCCTGTAAACGGCAGTCTCTGTTGAATATACAATGGAGGGTTGTAGATTTTCTTTTGGTATACTGCTGTTTTAGGTTGAACCGTGTTCAGTTTTATCCCTTTCGTTAGCTCGATGCTACTGTCAGCTCTGATTTTCAGCTCAACTCGTTAACCAAAACAGTTGTCTCGTGTCTCAGTGTCAAGGGACTCGCAGTCTAGATTTAGCCCGCTTGTGACATATTTCGGACCCTGGGTTTTCGATAGTGTCACTTTACTCATTCCTTATATTCCCCATCTCACCTATAATTTCATATAAATAGTAAATTCAAGTCAAAAGGGAAATTTTCTGGTAACATTTTGCGAGAGCACGCAGTCGTCCTCAAGACTAGACCTATGTTGTTGATCGTTTGCAAGCCTAGCAATGAAGTAATACTAGCAAATTGGGTACCAATGTGTGAATTTTTAGTTCCCAAATATGAATCCCCGTTGTGCTTGTGGCTAAATCTCCGAACAGAAGAATTAGCGCCTGATGATTAGCATGACATACATATAACGTCATCAAGGCAACCAAGAATGGCATATTTCACCAAATTTCGTGACGTTCATGGTAGAGCACAAAGCTATAAAATTGTACATTTGTGATGTACCAGGTACCTCGTTAGGCAACGAAGAGGTTAAGCGACCTCTAAGCCAGTAAAATAAGAGCCATTGTTAATATATGTCAGTGTACGAGCTCCTGTAAACGGTAAAGAGCAGCCTCTATTGATATATATGTGTCAGTGTATGAGCGCCCGCCAAGCTGCAGTCTTTATTGACATATTTCAGTGTTTGAGCGCCTGTAAATGGCAGCCGTTATTGATATATATATATATATATATATAATGTCAGTGTATGAGCGCCTGTAATGTTTCAGCACCTGTAGTACAGGAGCCTGCTCCAAATCTTTCCCAGGAAGCTGAAAATGTTTCAGAATGTTACACGGCCATTCAGGGTAATAATTAATTGTTAAGCACTTGGAGCCTTCTTCCTTTCTTGTAGGGTTATGTTTAATACGAATATATACAATTTTATCCTCTGACTTGCAAACTGGATCGTTATCGAGCCACATTTAACATTTTGCCCGTTGTGATCTTCCTCCTGAACAAAAAGTATTATGAAAATTTTTGTGATATAAGGATGTAAGCTTTTTTTGTCATGTGCACGCAGCATAGCATGAAAAACTTATCTTTTTTTTTTTTAAAGGTTTAAGTTATTGGTACTTGTTAAAAATAACTGTTCTTTTTTCGTATCTTCAATATGAGCGACTTTTGTTTCTGTGCTAAAAATCCCGCTATTGCGACATTTTCTCTTTCGTTCAAGTCATGTTGACTAATATAAGCACTGGTTGTTTGTTGTTGTTTGTTTGTTGTTGTTTTTTTTTGGGGGGGGGGCGCTGAGAATCCCTCGAGAACTGGCAGTCTCTGGTAGATCGTACAAAAGTAAACAAGCTGTTTCTGGTTTGGGGTTGTTTAGTTGGGTTGTTGTTTTTTTTCTTGAATCAACAAAATATGACTGAGGCAATTATGTTTGGACTGTAGCAATGTTCACCACCATCACCATCATAAGGAATACTCTGCCAAGCCACTGTGCAGATGTATAAGATACCACCCTCACCTGACAGGTGTTGTATTACTTTTGACATCATTCCATGGTGTGGTGAACAAGTAGAGCTGGATGTGTGAAATCCACTATCTGGATCACGATGCCTCAGTGGGGACATTACCTCCGCTTTCTTTCTTTCACCTCACGTTATAAAGTTTTGTCCAGCCAAAGGTTCCTCTGTGATTCCTGGGTAATACAAATGATCAAGATGTATGACTAATAGTAGGAGCTGAAACAAAACGGTAGGGTTTTTTTTTCATCAAATCATCAGTTTGTCACAGATGATTTATAATTGATTACGTCATGTTTGATTCTTTTGAGTTTTCAAGTTTTGTCAAGTGGGACTTAATTTAAAGCCAACCAACCCTTGTCATTATCTTGGTTTTATTTTGAGAAAACATTTTTACGATGGTGAAGGTTTGCAGTACAATGGAATTTTCTGGTTCAAATCCAATTGGGCTCAGCATTGTTTTACTCCTTTGGAGAATTTTTCCTCTCCTCTGCCCTGTATCTACACAATGGGACCTACCGCTCTGCCTTTGAAGTGATCTACCTTGTATTCAGCAGGGAGTTTATACTAAACTACAAAAATCATCCCAAAAAATGAGGTGCTTAAAAAGTGACACTGTCTTCACTTTTGATTACTGCTAACAACTGAATCTGTGAAAGTTGTAACATGATGTGCACAAAATGTTTGTTGTTGAGTTTACCTTTTTTTTTTTGTTTCCCCCCCCACAAGAGAACAACAAATTGGGAGTCTGTAAGACGAGTCTTCATCACATGACGTGGTCCGTCATCTGGGTCAGCTGGCTGTCCGTTGGGCCAGGTCTTGTTCTCTGTTTTCATGTTGTTAAGATTAGATGTTGAATATATCCTCAGCCAGCTGTTCTATAAGTGTACCAAGGCCAAACTTTTGAACTTTAAAAAAAAATTGGAGTGTCTTATTTTGTGGTATCGATTGCATGTGCTCCAGAACTGTTTTGTTGTAATTCAAATTCTAGATGTTGAAAAAAGCAAGAAAAAATACAAAATTTAGAGACGATTGTTGAAAGAATGAAAGTAGGTTTTTTCTCTGTCCTGGGAAATTTTGCTGTCGGGTCTTACATTTTAACAGCTTGCCGATGATATGCATGTGTGTGTGCTTCATGTCACAGGGTACACGTGTGCTAGCAGATGGTTAAAGGGCACCACCATTTTTACTCTTCTTAGGTCCTGCTTTAGGTCTTTCTTTTTCCCCCGACTTAATGTGTGTTTGTGTGTGCAGAGGGACTGTTGGGTCAGCGTTAATGACCGTCGGTGGTTGTTGGAAGCACCGCAGCGGTATATGCAATCAGAACGTTCTTGTGACAGTTGTTCTCGTCCAGAGGTCCGTGCCTGTCCATATATGGACCTACCATTGACAGAGGTACACAAAGAAATTCTTTATACTACTATACATATATATATACATACATTATATATATATTTATACGTGTAATTGTTATTTGTTTTGTTTGTGTTTTGAAAGAGAAGGGAGGGGGAGGGTTCAGCTTATCGTGAAGGATGTATGATGTTGTACTGTACATTTTTTTCCCTCTCCTTGTGTAACCCAAAGAAACAAACCTTTTTTTCTCGTTCTTTTTGTATCATATAAAGTTGAAATTATAATGAAAATGCTGATAAAATGTAATGTGTACATAAAAATGAATTTTGAATTCAGTCT